ATTGAGAGGAGTCATCTGAACTGCTCCGAGCGGCCGGCCGAGCAGTGCAGCAGGGTGCCTGTCCTCGTCTGAGGTCGGGGATCCGGCTCTCTCTGCCTTCATTTGCACGCTTGCCCCAGTGACGTGCATCCGTAACGCCTCAGATAGGTCCGAGGGATGCCTTTCGTGAGAGCTTCTGCTCTCCCACTCTGGTGGGGCTTGCGTGGTCACCCCCACCGTCTCATCTTCCTCGTGCACCCCTGCCTCGAACCTCCGCGCCCGGTTTTCTGCAGCCATTGCCATCCTCCTCCTCATCCGCCTCAGATGCAACAGGACCCAGAAGCTACTGCTCTGTCCCTTTCCCACCCCTTTTCCCCACCCTGTGGTGACCTTGACACCACGATGGGGCCCGAGTCTGGTTCTTGTCATGTGGCCCGTGTCTCAGCCACTGTAAGTTGTCATCGCCGTCAGTCTCCACGCTCGCTGCCAGTTACATAAGAGGCCACATAGCGTCTGCTCCCTCGCACAAGCTCGGATTAAACAGAGACTGCCTGCGAGGCCAAGTGGGCAAGAGGTCCATCCCGGAACCACGTCCCCGGGGAGGGGGAGTGCTGTCTCCAGGTCTCGGCTCCTGGAGCCAAGGAGCTCAGCGCTCGCCTGTGTTTGCAGCCTTAAATACATACTCAAGGACGACATGTTATGTTTTCGGCCTGAAGGGGCAAAGGAGAAGCAGCCCTTTCAAAATAAGAATTCCCCTGCTGTTTGTTTCATTTTGGAACACAATAAGAGCAGACTGAGGACACGGCTGAGCTGTCAACGCTTCCTACCCTGCTTCCACAGCACCTTTTATTTGCCAGAAAGAAAGTTGCTTAAGTTAAACAAGGGCATAATGAATAGTCAAAATAATTGTTTAGCTTGGATATAAGGCCGTAGGTAAATAGGTGATTGCCTGAGACCAGGGCCAGTAAAAGCAGTTCAGCAGGACGCCACTTGTTCCACGCTTCGGACATCAGCCAGTGGCCTCTGCTCCTCCGGGGACTGTTGTTGCTGAACTCTTTCTCTCTTCCCACAAGCATATTGAAGCAATTTAGTGTAGAAGGGTTTTATGAGAGCAAGGAGAAGGAGCAAGATCTTTCTATAGTATAAATATATACTTAAAACATTAATTCTACCAGATTAGAGCTTCAATTAAATAGAATGCTTGAGATATGGAATGTTTGGTTGTTGGAAAAGTTCTAAAATGCCCTGTTAGCTCACTTAAAATTGTCCTGCCTTCCTGCTTCACTAGTTTTTAACATGATTTAATCCTTTTCTAAAACAACTATTTACTACATCTAAAGGCTATTATTAGGTTTATGAGTAATTCGCTTCAAGACTGGGATTGTAGTTATAGACAGTATTAGCAATGAAAGGGAACTTTTGGGTATGGGTTTTACAGTTGTTGTTGCTGCTGTTTCCTTGTTTTGTTTTGTTTGTGTGTTTAGGTATCTTTCCTATCTACTTGTTTTGTTATTATTTGTCTCTTTTTTAAAAAAGTGGGGTTGCATCGTGAAAATTCTTCTTAATTAAAAGCTTGAGTAAACTAGTTGCCAGGTAATTTCAGGTTTGCTGAATAATATTTTTAATAATTGCTTCCCATTTCTTATTTGAAAATAACAGATGCCTTGTTGATCCAGAGCAGGATCTAGTTGTCTGATTCTGTAGCCCATTTCCCTAGACTGCTGTTCAAATAAACAACATGCATCTGATTGACTCATAATCACCAAAGTGGTAGATTCCCCTGGTACTCAGTTTCCAGGAATCATGATGAATATGTATTTGGTTTATTGGCAAGTAGCAATCAAAGGATACACTTGGACAATAAAAAGATAATGCTTAACTGGCTATATAATTTTGTATCCTGATAATATGAAAGAATGGGTAAGAACATAGAATTTGGAGCCAATTCGGAGTTTGAGCTCAAACTCCACACTTACCTGCTCTGTGATCTCAGACAATTATCGAGTTTTCACTCGCCTGTAAAGTCGTCCAGTAGGAATACCTACTTCCCTGGGCTGTTGGGTAGATGACATGAGAAAATGCTGAGCACAGTATAAGTATTCAGTAAATGTTAACTGTTATCATATTATTTTTATGCACATTATAATTTCCTCACAACAACCGCTTGGAATAGGCAAAACTGTTATAATTATACTAATTTAAATATTAGAAAACTGGACTCAAAATGGTTATTAATTTGCCCAAGGTCACCCAAGATGGTGACATACTGATCCTCTCAGTGACAGGAGTTCCTTGATTCCTAGCATAGCACTCTTTTTTTTTATCCATAATGCCATGTGGTGCTGTCTCCTCTCAGTTTCTCTAAATCTAAAGTGTTACATGATGATGGGCCTTCTCTGCCTTGTACTCTCAAATGGACAAATGGAATAAATTCTGGCAGAAGCTTTAAAACCCACATTGATATTATACAGAAGTTTTCTGGGTACATAGTGCTCTCAGGACTACAAAGCCAGGAGGACTCCTTGGTAGTACAGAGAAAAATATACTAGTGGAGAAATGATTTCCAGTGGGTGAGACCAAAAGCCCTAGGAGAAGCCCTAAAGGATGACGCAACAGGTCAGCGAGTTCCCAACCCCAGCAGGCTTTGTAAACCAAACTAACATGGTCTCATCTACGCATTGTTTTTCAAGTATATGTGTAGCTTACTGTCATTCATAAAATATAAATCATTTACAGTCAGTGCTGAATTTATTATATCATTTGAACATGCTATACTATCTCATTGGCTATTAAAAGTACAGCTTCTAGCATGTGCAGTTTGTGATTTTTGTCTTCATTTTTAAAACCAGCTGTGCACACTCTATAAGGTTAGCAACCAATGGTACTGAGGAGAGGGAGCTCTGCCTGTGAAGTTTAACAACCCAGATTTAAGGACTAGCTCTACTAATCGCAAGTTTAAAGCACCATAAACCCAGGCAGTCAATGAAAGTCAACAGACACCTATGGAGTGCCTTTAAGGGGCCTGAGCCTTGAGCTGGGGATAGCAGAGTGAATAGCAGCCCTTCCCTTTCTTCTCTGGGCCTCTATTTCTCACCTGTAAATAAGGAGAATAATAGTGACTCTCCTCACAAGGCTACTGTGAGGGTCTAATGTAATAAACAAGAAAATAGACTGTGAGGTTTGTGGATGTGCTTTGTAGACTCTTTAGACATGTATAAATAGAGGGTACTCAAGATAACTGCTGAGGAGAGGTAACCCCTCAACTCTTCCCACTGGTTTTCCTCCACCTATTAACCATGCACCCCACAAACTTATCAAATGCTAACAGCATTCCCTCTTGGATGTCAGACTATATTCATATTTTAAATATACTTTCCATCTCTTCCCTCCTCCTCCCACTTCACTATACTCCATAAACTGTCACATTCTTTAATATCAATATGTCACTACAATATCAGAGTATACAAAGCACTAAATAAGGCACCAATATAAAATTCAAAGTTGAGAACAGCCCAAGGGCTCAGACCTTGCAGTTTATAAGCCCGAGTACACACGAGGAATATTTTAAACACTGTCGGTTGTATGGGTTATGGCCGAGGAGGAGCTCGCCCAGGCCCTGGTTAACCCCAGGAGTTAGGAAGGAGACTTCTCCTCCTCTCCATTTGCAGGCTGAGGCCACAGGGTCACTCATGTCTGGGCAAGAGTGGCGTATGGGCGTGCACCCTTTACTCGAGGAAGAACCCTTTCCTGGTTCAGATGTTCCGGAAATATACTAGGTCTCATGTATGTTTACCTCTCTTCTTCTTTCAGGTTGTATACACTAACTGGAAATTCGGTCTTTTTATTTATTTTGTCAGCATGTAGAAATACAGAACATGTAATATGCATGATCCCTGCTTTGCAGGAGTGTAGAAGGAAGTAAATCCAGCATTCATTGCCAGGCAGCAAGTGTTATTTTATATTCTCCAACCACCTTGAACTATTCAGACACCTTGAACTGAGGCAGCTGCGGCTCAGAGCCTGCTTTATCCAAGGTCTACATCATTCTAAAGGCCAGGCTCCCTCCACTCCACTGCATTACCTCCCTTGATCTGGAAGGCAGGACACACCAAAAAGGAAAGTGAACACAGACGTTGAAAGAAACCTACAAATAGCCCTTGCTGGTGTGGCTCAATTGGTTGGGCATCGTCCCATGCACTGAAAGGTGGTAGGTTAGATTCCAGGTCAGGGCACATGCCAGGGTTGTGGGCTCGATCCCAGGTAGGGGGCCTGTAGGAGGCAGCCCATCGATGCTCCACTCTCACACAGATGTTTCTCTCTCTCTCTCTCTCTCTCTCTCTCTCTCTCTCTCTTTCTCTCTCTCCTTCTTCCTTCCTCTCTAAAAACCAATAAATAAATATATATATATATATTTTTTTTTTTAAAAAAAAAGGAAACATTCAAATACATAGTAGAAACTCTATAGAGTATCATGTCCAAGAGAGGCTACATGTCTGAAGTACCTGGAGCTAGGCTGGCCTTCCTCTGACTGATTCTGAAGCAGATCAGTGCTACAGCCTGGGGAACAAGGAAAATGGACACCAGTCAGAAAACCATTTTGCTAGGTCCAACCGGAATGACCCTGTGGGTGATTAAACTTCCAATAAGAATGAAAGCTCTAATCCCAGCACACCGTTTGTCCTTCCAGATTAAGATGTGTCATCTTTGTGGCCCTTGGAAGCATACACAGGCTATGGAAACTTTGTAAATGACTGACATTTTCACAGACCCACCGTCCGTCCAGGCAGATAAGAAACAAACCGCTGCTTCATGTCTTAGAGATCTGCCAAGTTCATTAGACTCAGCATTTATTAAATATCCCTTCCTACATATCACTCTCTTAAGAAAGGTGAATGGAAATCATTTTTCTCCTGATATTTGGTGTTGGTTCCAGGGACATAAGTGGGTAAGAGGATTTACAAAGGAAACATGAATACACTTGGCAACATTTTCAAACGTTGTTTGGATCTTCTGTTTTCTAGGAGATGTACGACTGAGGGGTCAGACAGGGGTTCCTGCTGAACGCCGCGGCTCCTACCCATTCATTGACTTCCGCCTGCTTAGCAGTGAGTAATCAAGTGTACCTGGAAAGGAACAAATGTTTTCTGTTTTAAAAAATCTCACTTCCCTCTGAACTTCAAAACCCTCCGAGGTCTGCCTTCCTTCCTCCATCTCTCCCCTCCCAAATGGAGCTCAACCCTTTGTCTTAGATTTCCTCACCAGTGAAGTAATTCTGGCTCTGCTCTCTCAGAGTCGGGGAGAGGGGGTCAAATGAGATCGTGTCAGTTTTAAAAATGTACATCTTACATCGAAGCCCTACACACGTAAACTCTTGTTTTCATTATCCTGCACATTCTCTCCACCTTCAGCCGTTAGACTAGATTAAATTCTATTTTATTTTTTTAAATATGTTTTTATTGATTTTTTTAGAGAGAGAAACGTGACCGGCTGCCAAGCATGTGCCCTGACTGGGAATCGAACCAGGACCCTCAGTCCATGGCACAATGCTCAACCCACTGAGCCGCACCGGCCAGGTCCTGTTTCATTTTTTTAAACCCCACAGGGAAACCTATTCTAGAGCTGCCCTTAGTAACCTACCCATTATTGAATTCTCCCCTCTTTGTCTAATCTAAATCCCTGAGGTTTGTACTTGCATTCCTGGTAAAAACCCTTCACCATGGTGAGGTCCTTTCAGTCAGCACTTGCTGCTTCCTCCGTTTGGACTACCTCGAAAGTTTATTTATTTCTGCCTTTCCCTTTCATATATCACTCCTGCTTGGAGTTTTGCTGAACCTCTGGTTCATAATTCTCTTCATCTCAAATTCCTTTGGAAATACAAGCCAGTGACCAGTTTACGCCTCCAGATTTCTTACCTCCTAACTACCATAATCCTCCTTCACTGTGGACTTGGGGGTGGGGTAGAAAGGGGATAAATCTTACAATTGGCTCCAAGGTTTTCAGTGTGTGGAGCTCATATTACTTCCAATCTTTACATTTCAAAGTGCTGGGTTGCACCCACAGAGTATTACTTCCCTTTGGCATAAACAAGTTCAGCTAAAGAGGTAATTTGATTTACCTAGACCCCTGGAAATTACTAGGAGAAATTAGAACTGGCTATTTCTGATCTTTAGATCCTCAGAAGACCAACAGGAGATGGACATGTTTGTATTTCTGGCTTGTTAACCTCTCGTATCAATGTGCAGTATCTGTTTTCTCAGTGTTTCAGGGATATAGAGACTTGGAATAACTCTTTCCATACTAGAGACAACCTCCCCACCCAAACCCACCCCACATTTTAGAACTGAGTCACTGACCAATGCCATTTTCATTACAGCCTGTGGGGAGCGCTGACAGTCCCTTTTACCTGAATGGGCTGTTCCAGCTACTCATGGAAGCTACTCATTTGACAGTCTCTAGACCGCATGAATTTGCAGGGCATATAGTTCTACCAAGCAGGGTAGGAATGAGCAAAGGATCCAGTTCACTGTTTCATATTGAGACCAGAACTCTCAATGGCATTACATATTGAGTGTCAGAGAGAGAAAATAACCAGAAAACCTTTTTTCAATAGTAGATGAGATATTATTACATCATGTTTTGTAATATAAGGTATAAATAAATTAGGAAAATCGGCGATACTTATTTTTTAATGCCAGGTTCCAAATGATAAAAAGTAAATTTATTTATTTATGTATTTCAGTGTTAATAAGCAACTGCTAATGGTCATTTTTGGCAATGGGATTATGGAGTATTTCACTTCCACATGAGAGTGTTCTGTAGCCTTGGATTTTTTTTTTTTTTACAATTAGCTTGTTTTACTTTTATAAGCTGATAAAAAAGAAAAGCTGGAAAAATGTAAACAGAAACTCAATGTAGGTAATATTTCACTGTTACTCACCGTATGACACATCGTGTGTAGCAGGTGCCGCGCAGTCACCTCTGTGCAGTAGATCCTTCGGGGAGTGCCTAGGTAGGGTCTGGACTCTGTCCCGGCCTCCTTCTCCTGGCCCAGTATGCTCTCGGCCCCTCCAACCCACTGCCACTCATGCCCTCTACCTCGCAAGTGGCCCTCGTCTGCCCATCCTGGAAGTCCCTTTCTCCTCTGCTCACGCCCCACTCTGAGTAACTCTTTCACTCCTGTCTCCTTACCAGCAACACATGCAAAGGAATATTAATTAGCCTTTATTGTATTTTGCTTTATTAAGGGTCTCAATTTTTTCTTCCTCACTATATAAAACACATCCTGCTCTGGCCAGTTTGCTGAGTGGTTAGAGCACCAGGCTGCGGACCAATGAGTCATGGGTTCGATTCCAGTCAAGGGCATGGACCTCGGTTGCAGTTCATCCCCAGCCCTTGTGGGGGTCATGCGGGAGGCAACCAGTTAATGTGTCCCTCTCACATAGATATTTCTCTCTCTCTCTTTCTCCCTCTCTCTCTCTTTCTCCCTTCCACTCTATCCAAAGATAAATGGAGAAATATCCTTGGTGAGAATTTAAAAATAAATAAATAAATAAATAAACAAACACATCCCTAAATAGACTTCAGGATCCTAAAGGACCTTCTCTTTATAGTTACTGAGCTCCCAATATCTATTGTTCACTTATTAATTAGATTAAAGGGTCCCCTCCAAAAGATTATATTAAATAATTATATCAGTCACCCCTGATGTTTATCTGAACAGCTCAGATAGGACCAAAGCCCTCTGAGATGTTTCCTTTCTATGGTATTATCCATTTCATCGTCTAACACTGCAAATACCTCGTTAGTGAGACTGGAACCAGTAACATTACTGTGGTCACTCGCCACCATTTCCTAACTGCAATTAAACAGCTTGTCACCAGGTAGCAGAAGGTGTGTGGCTGTCTGTGTCACATACAGTCACACCGCGAGCTACAATGTACGTCGTAGCTCCTGCCACTTACTGTGCGCTCTTTCCCTCTCCTTCACGCTCTGGCTGCGGTCCGCCTCGTCATACTGTGCTTTCTGCCTGAAGCGAAACATTTTAAACACAACTTTATAAAAATTTAAAAATCAGTGCTACAGAACATTTTCTCCTAAGACTTTTCTTTTACTAACAAAACATGATTCTAATTCTACATGGTAAGTACCTAACTAATTTAAAGTGAGTTTTTAAACATCATGTACCCTAATTTTGAGTCATTTTTTTCTGCTGTAGGCAGAGATCCAAGACTTCATTTTCCTCAGGTGCTTTCAGTTTTGCTAGCATTTGTTGGGCTTATTTTTTTAGCCATTTGTAAGGAAAACTAGATCACCGCAGCCTCTATCCCCAATGTCTGCATCCCTGAAGCCTTCCTTCTAAAATGCTTAGTGAAAGCCATGTGGCCACCACCCCGTCAGAAGTGCTCCTGGGTTTTACCCTCATCCTCCACCTCCACATGGGCCTTGGATGGTTGGGACACCCACAAGAAAACTCTATGTTCGATAGTAAGGCCCAACGCACATTTCTATTCGGCCCTATAGCCGTGGCCCCGGCTTGTCACAACAGATCAGGAGACGTCAGAATTAATATAAATATTATGTTAATATTAATCTGATTATTATTCATCTAAATATTAAACAACTAGATCAGGGTGCAAACGGCAGCTGGTACACTGAATCTGCAACCCATACTGCCTGTTCTGTAAACAAGATTTCTCACTGCAGCACTGTTTACAATAGCCAAGATCTGGAAGCAGCCCAGTGCCCATCAGTAGATGAGTGGATAAAAAAAACCTGTGGTACATTTACACAAAGGAATACTACTTAGCCATAAAAAAGAAGGAAATCTTACCTTTTACAACAGCATGAATGGACCTGGAGAGTATTATACTAAGTGAAATAAACCAGTCAGAGAAAGACAAAAACCATATTATCTCACTTAGATGTGGAATCTGATGAACAAAATAAACTAACAAAATAGAAAGACTCATAGATACAGAGGACAGACTGACAGCTGTCAGAGAGGAGGGGGTTGGAGCCTGGGTGACAAAGGCGAAGGGATTAAGCAAAAAAAAAAGAAAACAGACACAGACACAGACAACAGTATGATGATTGCCAGAGGGAGGGGTGGGGGAGGTAGAAGAGGGTAAAGGGGTGACAAATGTGATGAATGGATACTTGGCTTTGGATGGTGAACACACAATACAGTATACAGAGGATGTATTATAGAGTCTTACACTTGATATCTGTATAATTTTATTAACCAATGTCACCCCAATAAATTCAATAAAAATTTTTAAGAAAATAACCTAGGAAGAAAAGGTTCTGTTGGAACAGAGCCATGCCCTATCATTTACATGTTATGTACAGCTTTTTTATCCTACAATGGCAGAGTAGTTACAACATAGACCATACGGCCCACAAAACCAGAAATACTTACTATATGGCCCCATACAGAAAAAGTCACCAACCCCGCCCTGGCTGGCAAGGCTCAGATGGTTGAGCATTGTCCCGTGCACCAACAGGTTGCTGGTTTGATTCCCAGTCAGGGCAAATGCCCAGGTTGTGGACCTTATCCCTGGTAGGGGACGTGCACAGTGTTATGTTCTCACATGGATGTTTCTTTTACTGTCACTCTCCCTCTCCCTTCTTCTCTCTCTAAAAATTAATAAACTATTCTTTTTTTTAAAAAAAGCTACCAATCCCTAACTTAGATTTTTAAACAGAATCAAAAGGGTTTTATGACATCTCCATAGATACATTTAGTCCAGTCTATTTTTCTTTGTTAATACCACTTTTTTTTTTTTTTTTCATTTCAAAGCTATTACTTTACTTTTAAGAATGGACTAAATTAAACTAGATAGAAGTATAAACAGAAAGGGCACCTCTCTTACGGATCCAGATTTTATATTCCACAATTATAATTTCTAATTTCACAAAGTATTTTCTGGAAGAGGTGTCTTTTTCCCTGCATTTTTAAGGGCACAGTACTACCATGCCCATGTACTTATTGTCTACATAATAGGTGACAATATATACCTGGTTTGCCTGGCATAGTCCTGGTTGTGCCTGTTGTCCAGGCATACTTAATAATGCCGCCTTTCACGCCCAGAATATCCAGTTTGAACAATAAATTACCAATGGAGTTCTTCAAGACAATACCTCTTGACTGTCACCTGTAGTCTAGAAATGAAGATGAGAAAATCCTCCTAATAAGAAATTGATCTGGATTCATCCATGTATCTATTGATATACAGAAGATAAAGTTTCCTGTTTTCAGCCAGTTGCATTTCCTGTTACTATTACAAACAATTTAGAAAAGGGGCATCTCTGTGGACTTTTAGAGCCATCTCTGGATAAGGAGCAGGAAGCTGCCTTCAGCACCACTGTGGGACACAGGAATCCTAGACTTTGAAGAGGAGTTATTGCCACACCTAAGCATGGAGGGGCAGAACAAAGAGAAAGGGGTGACAGTTATTTTTATTGCACATGACAGAACGAGGAGGACAGGAGGAACGGAAATAGAATGGCTGTCTTACACCAATGCCGACTTCCTGCAGATTTATTTCATTCACTAACTCTGTTGGGGGGAGGCTGACAAGAGAGGAGAATATGTAGAGAAGAGTGTTCAGAGAGACGTGTGGCCCAGAGGTGAATGTGGCAAAAGCAATTACTGTTCTCTGCAGAACAGGGGGCTACAGCGGCCCTTCTCCATCTTTGTCTCCTGGTTTAATATAATCAGTAGCCTGAGTAGGTAATGACTAGGTGGAGATGTTCCCGTGGCAACCATTTCAGACCAACAGTGCGATTTCCACACCCGCAGCAAAGGAAGGGACAGGCAGAGCCGACATTCCCGGGCCTGGAGCCTGAGGGAAGAAGCCGCTTCCGCTGGAGGTTTCAGGGCAGCAGGATCAGCTGGCGCGGAGAGCCGGGGCTGCTAGTCCTGTGGGTAATTTGCTAATATTGATCTTCACGGTTCTCTTCTCCAGATCTGCTGGCCTAGGCAGGGCCCTGTTAGCTACACGAGCAGCATGAGGTAATTTTAGTATAGCTGCAAAAATATTTTCCTTTGCTTATTATTTCTGAAATAGAACTAATATTTACAAACACACACACACACACACACACACACACACACACACATATATATTTGAGTCTCTGAGTCACTTCTCCTTCATAAAAGATATAAGTGACCCAGAGACTCAAATGTTCTTTTAAAAGCTGCCATCTAAAACATATTACACCATGTGGAAACATAAAATACATTCGCAGAAGGACTATCAATCAAAAACCACCCAGTATATCACCATCTGGTGTGAAGTGATAGCCCAGCTTAAAGACGGACAGGCAATTTGCTTACAAGCTTCGTTTTCTAGGAGAGAATTCCACACGGATGACAGCCTGTCGGTAATCTTAGAGATAACTTTTCACATTACCTGTAAGATCCACACAAAATGCAAAGACCCTAAACTAAAATGTTACAGGATGAGATGTTGTTTACAGATACAAACATGCAACTAGTAGAAAAGTAAGTCCTGGAGACCTAACGCACAGCATAGAGATTATAGTCAACAAAACCATAGTATACACTTCAAAGCGGCTCAGAAATCTTCGTTGTTCTCACCACAAAAATGAAATGATAATTATGTGACCTGAGAGGTGTTAGCTAATGCTACAGTGGTCATCATATTGCAATATATAAATGTATTGAATCAACACATCCTATGCCTTATGCAGTGTTGTATGTCAACTGTATCTCAATAATAAAGTAAAAAGAAAAAGAAAAAAACAAAATGAAATCATCCTTTAAAAAAATATTACAGGGTGGTTTGAAAGAAGTTGCACTGAGGGGATGATATCCCACCTCCCTCAAAGCCCTGACCCACCTCCCAGCCCTGTGCTCCTCAAGCAGACAAAGGAGGTGCCAGTTAGCACTGAGACTTCCCATGAATGCCAAGGTAACACCCTACAATTTCAAGGTTCAATATTTGCCTTCCTCTAGAAGAAAGGCCAGGCATTGGTTGTGGTTGTGGTGCCTTCTGACTCACCTGGACCGTGTTGCATGACGTGCATTCAGTGTGTCTGGCTACAAGCTCCCCAGCACTTCAGATGCGGAAGTGCCAGGCCAGCAGGATGGTTAGCCACCAAAATGCCACTGCCGTGCAGAAGGCAGAGTTGACGATGTCCTCACTGTTTCACTTATTCCTTGTCACTGCTCGTCAGTGACCATCGGTGGAGCACTGCATGGGGTAGGCAACGTTCCAGGAGATAAACAGATGAATGAGACATAGCCACTGCCTTTGAGGAATTTACAGACATAAGCAACTATATTTTAATGGATATGATACATCTAATAATACATGCATTTTTTTATGGAATTGTTTTATTTACTTATTTATTTATTTTTCTTTATTGATTTTAGAGAGAGAGGAAGGGATGGAGAGATAGAAACATCGATGAGAGAGAACATCGATTGGCTGCCTCCTGCATGCCCCCCACTGAGGATTTGGCCCATAACCTGGGCATGTGCCCTGATCAGGAATCAAACCAGTGACCTCTTGGTGCATGGGTCGATGCTCAACCACTGAGCAACACTGGCCGGGCAATACATACATATTTAACAAGAGTATACATAATATGAGAGGCACATGTATATATGTATACAGGATGCAGAGGAGAGATTCATTAACTTTGGGAGTGTTGAGAAAGGGTATAATTAATTTTTCTTCGAAAATTGGGGAACAATTTCTAGAGGCATTAAAACACAAGCAGTTTCTGGAGCAACAATGAAATGAAGGACAACTGCATGCTAAAGCCAATTTTAGGGCTTCAAGACCTAAGAACCAGGAGAGAGTTATCAATTGTTTTCAACTGGATAAAGATTCTACTGGAAGATGAGGTTTTCAAGTAGGGACCAGAGAAGTCAGGAGAGATCATTCAATACATCTGTCTGGGGAAAAACCATATTCACCAAAAAAAACAAAACAAGTTTTAATCTTCTAATACTAGAACTGAAAACAACTATTGCCTTCTGTTAACCTGGCAGACATCATTTAACAGATTTATTTTTTATCTGAGTGATGAAAATAGAAATTGAATCAGGGAGTCCAATATTTCCTCTGAGTTACTATTTATTCACGTATTCATTCAGCAAGTAGAATACCCACTCTACGCCACTCGGGCCATGAGGCCAAGGTGTCCTAAACGACCTCAGTAACCACTGGATTAAGATAACTTTCTTTTTAATCCTCACCCGAGGCTATGTTTTTATTGCTTTCTAGAGAGAGAGGGAGGAAAACATCAATGTGAGGAGAAACATCGATCGGTTGCCTCCCATTCACACTCTGACTGGGGGTCAAACCCACAACCTAGATATGTGCCCTGACCAGGAATGAACCCACAACCTCTTGGTGTAGGAGACAATGCTCCAACCAGCTGAGCCACCTGGCCAGGGCTGAGAGAACTTTTATGTGATGGCTAGCTTCTGTCTCAAACAGCAGTGTGACTGCAGTCTTCCAGAAACACCAAATGTAAATATCTCAACATTTCTAAGTGCCCTAAAGGAAACTTCCAGATATTCATCTAGCCTCAAAGACCCAATAACCTAATTTCATGAAGAAGACAAGCACACACTAAACCAAGAACCATTCAAGAGCATAAATTATCTAGTTTTAAAATAATTGACATCAACAGTAGATCAGAGGCAAGAGAAGGCATAGATTACTGAGGCACCCTGAGCAGAGAGCGCTTGACGGTCTTGTGCTGAGCTCTGAATGATAAGGTGGAGTGTTGACTGGTTAAGGCATTGCCTGAAGTGAGACTGAGCTGACATATGGGAGACATCAAGTCACTAAGCAGGAAGAAGGTCCAAAAAGTAGTAAAGTATGTTGACTAGAGAGAAAATGAAAGTCTTGGGACGCCAAGATAAAGAATTTGAACTTGATTCATTACACAAAGAAGATTCCCTAGAGAATTCTGACAAAAAGATGGCCAGGGTAAAATATTGTTTCAGAACATTAACTGACACCCATATGTAGGAGGGACATACTCAATGAAACAAGAGAAATGTAAGACTATGGTAGCAATAGAAATAAAGGTATAAATTCAGAGATGGTTGGGGAAGAGGCAATAAAACTCAATGATACTGAAAGCTCCAAGCTTGGCCTGGCCATCTGAAAACTTGGAAGTGAGGCCAATGATAAGGAAAGTTGAAGGGTGAATTTTGGGAAAGATGGTGAGCTCATTTGGGACCATCTGTTTGTAGTGGAGTCAAATATCGAAGAGAAAGCTGGAAATAAGGGACTGCAGTGCAGGTGAGAGGGACCTGATTTGGAAGTTTCACTTGGGAACCACAACCATCCATGAGCCAAGGCCAGTAGATATCACAAAATCAACAGCTACTTTGTTCAAGGGCCGCTATAATTTTAGTTTATAATAAGCTTAATTTAGCAAAGCATACAACTGTTGACTGAGGCCCACAAAGAAGTAAGTTTCACCAACAATTTATTTTCCTCTCTGAGAAACTATTTAGATACCACCCTTACTCTCAACACCACCATTGTGGATTCTATTTGGTACAAATGTAGTTTCTAGTGTCATGGCCCGGTGGGTTTGCTAACTCACCTGGATACAGTACAGATAAATGGCAGATTTCTACCGCAGCACTTCCTTGAGTAAAACCCTAACCCAATAGGAGTATTTCTAGTAGCTTCTTTGGATTTCTGGAGACCATAAAATGTAGAGAGAAGCAGCAGTAAATTTTCTTTTGACTCAAGTTACTCTATGAGTTACTGAGCTAGAATGACTTGTTTGTTACATAAAATTAACCTCCTACCTAGAAGCAAGCACAGCCTATCTCGTATGACTTCATTAATAAACAAAATGAGGAGTTATGTCCTTTTCTTGCCACCCTTCCTTCAAAGTTTCAGAAGATCTAAAAGACTTACCATGGTCCCCATTTATACAGAGAGAGAGAGAGAGAGAAAATTCCATCCTTAGAATCTTTTGTGTGTTTCCAAACTGAGATCTCAGCATTAACACATATGATTAAGATCTTGTTTTCTCTCTAACTAGCAAACCAAATTGCACTGGGGCTCCCTGGCAGTTTATTACTTATAAGTAACCTTAGGAGGAAGAGGAGCGGAACAGATGCCTGAGGAAAGTGGCAGCAATTAGGGAGAAAGTCCCAAGGGGAAGGTGGCCCATGTCACTGTACCTGACAACGGCCACCACAACATTAAGGTGAGAGGTGCTTAATCCCAGGCACAAGATGCAGGAGCCCAGGTGTGGATTCTTCTCAGGCAAGGCTCCCCAAGGCTGTCATCTCCTGAAGGTCTAGGAGCACAGAAGGGCTGCTGTGAGCACTGGAAGTAGCGGAGGCCATTAACACCCAATCACATGCTGCTTGTCTACCATGATCGCCTCCCCTGAGCTCCATGCACACTGAACTCCCGCCGCCTGGTGCACTCTCTAAAACCTGGGCAACAGAGGAAGATGACAGGAAGATAATGGGCTTTGAAGTCACACCTGGGTTTGAATTCTACTTCTTTTGTGAGCTTGGAAAAGACACCCAAATTACTTAATGACGACATATATGGAAGGAGAATGTAACACCAGCCTCATTGGGTCGAGGTGAGAAGTAAATGAGATCAATGTGTCCAGCAGCCTGTCTTGCTCACAGTGGGTCTTCAATAAATGTAGCTGAACTTTAGATGTACCTTCTTCCTCTGCTGAGTATACCCAGCCCAGCCACCTCTTCTCTTAGGAAGCCCTGGCCCAGCCTTCTGTATGACCTCTGTGACTCCAACCTTCCCAGGGGACTACCTCCTGGTAGTCATTTCCCCCTCTGTGCTCCCACCCCATCTCCAAGAGTGCATCCCTCGCACTGTACCTGCAAACTCACTGCACCTGAACCTCTTGAGAGTATATGCTTCAAAGTATCCTGAGGTGACATGATGCAGAAAACCTGGCTCTGGATCTTCCGTGAGTGTTTGGGAACCATGAGTACTTGGAAATCACTGATATAGGTCAGTTATGCCATACACATATCATATCAATACTACTAATAATAGCTAGTGAGTGTGGCGCTCTTGGGTTCTAGACACTGCTTTATGTGCTTTGCACAGATCCCCTCATTTATCCCCACAAGATCCCTATGAAGTAGACACTACTGTTTAAACTGAGGCCCAAAGAGGAGAAACAACTCACCCGAAAAGAGCTTGTTAACCGGAATGCAGACCCCAGAAATATAAGGCAATAATAGACTATAATTCCTCTTTACATATGTATTTGAATGTTCAAAGTCACTACATATATACAATACATTCCTTTTATGTGACATATATATAACACGCATTAAATATTTTTCTTACATTATAATAGTCATTTTTCTTATATAGTACATTTAGACTCCTCCCTTTTTGGTGTGAAACTGGTTCAATATCATTGAACAAATAGTTCTATAATTAATTATAAAATATGTAATTATACATCTATGTGAGTATTAGATTTTGCGACGTTTCAAATGTACTTTATAATATTGCCCCTGCTCTGCAGAAGGTGCCAAATGACAAATTGCTGACTTCATCACCGGCCTTGTGTTCTTTGATAAGAAAGAGAAGGGTGTGGTGGTGACAGGCCAGGACACTTGTCAGCTGTCTCTGAAAAAGGAGGAAATGGAATTGCTATTGTGACAAATTAAAGTCAGATTTGGGGCCGCTACCGGTTGCTTTAATTTTTCTCAAGGGGAGTTGGTTATTTCCTGTCATGCAAACTGTGCTTCATTGAAAGGCAGTTTCTCAAAATGTTTATAGTACAGGGTGGGGCAAAAGTAGGTTTACAGTTGTGAGTATACAAAACAGTTTATTCTTGTACTATTATTTATTACTTGTATTATTTTCCATACAAACAATTGTAAACCTACTTTTGCCCCACCCTGTATATTAAGTAAAAAGAAGCAGGATACAAAATTGTGTATCTTAAAAGATCTCAGTTATATTTGTTTAAATATACCAAAATCTCAACAGGGATTATTTCTAGATGATTATTATTTTCTTCTTTCTATTTTTTTCTATTTTTTTCTACCATAAGCATATAATTCTTATAATCACAAAAAGATAAGATTCATTAAAAAGAAAAAAAATCCTCAGTGTTTATTAGAAATAGAAT